CGGCAAATAGACTTGTTATAGGAGGAACACTATTTCCTCACAAGAATATACACAAGCTTGCATGGATATCCCCAAACAGAAGAGATGTAAACCAGATCGACCATTTCATGGTAAACAAAAAAATGGTGTGGGTCCCTACTCAATGTGCGTGTCAAAAGGGGAGCAGATGTGGGAAGCGATCATCACCTTGTAGATGCTCTACTACAACTTAAAACTCAAAAAAGTTTACACGCAAGTTAAGACAAAGACAGCACGTTACAATGTTAACCTTTTAAGAGAAAAAGACATTGCCACTAAATTTATAGTAGAACTCAAGAATAGATTTCAAACCCTATCAAGTGACCCAGAAACTCCAACTACAGTCAGCATTCAAGTCAGATGGAACCAGATCAAAGAAACATACAAATCAACTAGCAATAACATATTAGGAACCAGGAAACACCACAAAGAATGAATAAGTAGTCAAACCATGGACTATATTGCCAAGCGAAAAAGAATAAAGAGCCTCATAAATCACACTAAATCAGAACATCAGAAAGACAAACTAATGTTAGAATATAGCGAACTAAATAAAATGACCAAGAAAAGTGCCAGAGCTGACAAGAGAAGATTTATGGAAAATCTTGCAGAAACAGCAAAAAATGCTGCTAAAGCATATGATCTACAAACCCTACACAAAATTACCCAGCAAATTTGAGGAAACAGAAACAATTATCACAGCATACCCATCAGAGATAACCAAGGCAGACTGCTCACCACAGAACAAAAACAAGACATGCAGTGGACTAAACACTTCTCCGACCTCTTAAACAGACCTGATCCTGAAAATCCCCCAGATATTCAACCAGCCTCTCAGGACATTGACATTATTACTGAACTACCAAACAAACAAGAAATCCTTAAAGCTATCCACACTTTAAAGAACAACAAAGCACCAGGCAAAGACGAACTGCCAGCAGAACGTCTCAAAGTAGATCCCAACAGAACTGTTGGCATTCTAGAACCATTGTTCAAGGATATTTAGGAAAAAAAGAAGTGTTACCTGATGACTGGACTGAAGGAGCAATAGTCAAAATCCCCCAAAAAAGGAGACTTAACAGACTGAAATAATTGGAGGGAAATTACTCTACTCTCAGTACCAAGCAAAATATTTTTTTAAATCATCATAATTCGGCTTGAAAAAGGAGTAGATAAATGCCTACGAGTGGAGCAAGCAGGATTCAGAAAGGGCAGAGGAACAACTGAGCACATCTTCGCCATATGTAACATTTTAGAACAATGCAACGAATGGCAGAGGAGAAGTATATACAGTGGAACCTCGCTTAACGAGCATAATTTGTTCTAGAATCATACTCGTTTAACGAAAAACTCATGCGAAACAAATTTTCCCATATAAACTAATGTAAAATACGATAATGCATTCCATGTCGAAAAAATTACTCACAAAATGCTATGTTTAACGTTTATTCAAAGAAATTATATACATATTGTTAAGGAGAGTGAATCATCTTCATCTTTTCTTCAAACGCGGAACGAACCCACATGGAATGGGAATTTGATTTGCAGGAAAAAAAAAGTTGAAATAATTATAATACATAGCTAATTATTTTTATTTTTACTAGAAAGATGTCCAGAGACATTTGTTTTTGCAGAAGCTTCAAAATTTGGCTACAATTTAACACAGCATTATCATTAAATAAATTTGCAACGCACATAGCCACTTCCTTATGAGGGTGATGCTTTTCAATGTAAGATGCAACAGTTTGCCATGCTTTCAGCATTTTTCTTATTTCGCTAGAAGATTGTTGCTTTTCTGTTACCTCCTCTGACAAACTTTCCTCCAAAAGTTCTTGCTGTGGAACACAATGCAACTTCATAAGCTCTTGGGTGGTCAGCTCTTGGCTGTGCTCTTCCACAAGCTCTTCGATATCACTGTTATCAACCTACAATCCAATGATAGTGGCCAAAGACACAATCTCGTTGACTACAGCTTCCGCAGGTACTGTCTCGAACCCCTCAAAGTCACAGATCGACAATGCTCTCCCGCCAAAGCTTCTTCCGAGCAGAAGTTAGGGTTCTCTTGGTAACCCCTTGCCCCGCCTTGTCGATCATCTTGAGGCAGGCAACGATGTGGAAGGGATTTTTCCAAAACTCTTTGAGAGTGAGGTTGGTCTCTTTAGTCCAGTCACCTGAAAACAATGCTTGAAGAGTGCTTTAGTGTGGAGCTTCTTGAAGTTAGAAATAACTTGCTGGTCCATGGGCTGGAGTAATGGAGTGGTGTTGGGAGGCAGAAACTGGATCTTGATAAACTTAAATTCTACAGAGAAGTCATCTTGTAGGCCTGGAGGATTCATGTACATATATCACAATATAGCACAAGTTTAAGAAAATGTGTGATCACAAACGACACTACGATTCTACTGGAACGAGTGCTAAACATAGATTGATGTAACATGCGCACAATCCGGGACTTCCCCTCTCCTCGCCACTCGTTATGTGAAACATCGCTCGTTAAGCGAGTCATTTTTTTACAATTTGTTTTGCTCGTTATGCGAATTACTCGTTATGATAGGTGCTCGTTAAGCGAGGTTCTACTGTATATTAATTTTGTGGACTTTGAGAAAGTTTTTGACAGCGTCCATAAAGACGGTCTGTGGACAATTTTACGACATTATGGAATTCCAGAAAAAATATTCAACATAATTGCTCTCTTTTAAAAAGACTTTTCCTGCAGTATAAAAAATTACAATACATCTTTCCCAGTAAAGACGGGTGTAAGACAGGGAAGTGTTATGTCATCTCTCCTCTTCAACCTTGTGATTCATTGGATACTAAAGAACACAGTAGACAGGACATTAGGAGGCATACGATGGACTCCATTCACCATGCTTGAGGACCTTGATTTTGCAGATGATATAGCAATCCTATCACATAAACATGAACATAAACAAGAGAAAAGTAACAGACTACACTGCACAGCAGAAATGGTGGGACTGAGAATAAATACAAAGAAAACTAAAAGTAAAGTAAAGTAAAGATAACTTTACACGCCCTTAGGCGCATCGGGCAAATGGGAAGAGCACCCATATTTTTAGACCAATCGGCACTCGGTGGGTAATGTGGTCAGCATTACGCCGGCCGTCTTTACTTTCCCAGGACAGCCCATCCTGGTACCCATTTGAGACTGGGTCGATCTGCGACGTCCCATACCACGATAAAAATCCACGCAGGTTTCGATCGCGGTACGTTGGATTACGAGTCAGACTCCCAACGCCTTAGCCACGGACGCCGCTAAAAAGAAAACTAAGATCATGACAAACAGTCCAAACCAACAACCAGTGACCATAAGTAACCAATCACTTGAAAATGTAGAACATTTCACATATCTTGGCAGTGTGGTGTCCCTACTGGGAGGGACAGAGGAAGACATACAGTCACGCTTGAACAAAGCTAGAACTGCTTTTGGAAGGATGAGGCAAATCTGGAAATCCAACAATTACTGCAGCGGAACAAAACTCTGACTCTACAAGAGCATCATTTTGCCAGTTCTTCTTTATGGAGCGGAATGCTGGAGAATGACCAAAAAGGATGCACACAAGCTGTCCACCTTCCACCACACATGTCTACGTAGAATTTTCAAAATTTTCTGGCCAGATACAATCTCAAACACTAAACTACTTCAAGCCACAAACCAAGAAACTTTAGACAGTATGATTACCAAAAGAAGATGGAAATGGCTTGGCCACGTTATGAGAATGACTTCTGATATATCTGCCAAAACAGCTCTCACGTGGACACCAGAGGGAAAGAGAAAACAGGGGCACCCAAAAACAACATGGAGACGAACGATGGAAAGTGACCTGAGTGCGGCATCTTTGACATGGAAAACTGCACTGAAGATTGTACAGGACAAGAAAGCATGGAAAGTCCTCTCTCAAGCCTCATGTGCCACTAGGCATAAGGAGAACTGATGATTGCCTCTCAGGCAGATGCACTCTGACTTCGAAGGAAGCTTCCAATAAGTTGACTCTTACGACATGCTTTTGGGTAGGCAGTGGTTCTATTCTTTTTTTCCCCCTATTATAGGGCCCCAGGGCCCACATAGGGAAGAGATGTTATTGAGAAGAGAGGTAAGAATATTATGAACAAAGAAGAAAACAACTGCTGAGGTACTGACAGCTTTTTGTGTTCCATAATCATAGATCAAAACCATAAGGAAATGACAGATAACAATTTCTGGGGCATATCAAGAGAAAAGAATTGAACAGAAACTATAGTTCAAAAGCATGGGAATTCTAATACTCATACAAACCAGCCCTGCCTTCAACACCCCCTTGCCCCTGACAATCTTGTCTGAGCACTAGAGTATAGGTGTTTGGGTACTAGTGCACACCAGCCCTGTCCTAGTAGTAGTACAATAGTAGCAGTAAGTTAGTAGTTTAAAGAAGTACTTAGTAAGTAGCTTAGTGCAGCAGAACTAAGTAGTAGCGTAGTAGAAGTAGTTAGTATCAACAGTGGTCGCTGATGGTAGTAGTAGTAGTGGTGGTGGTGGTGGTAGTAGTAAAGTAGTAGTAGTAGTAGTAGTATAGTAGTGGTGGTGGTGGTGGTAGTAGTAGTACTAGTAGTAGTAGGTTATCTCAGCCCTTGAGCTGACCTGCAATTTATAAAATAAAATAAAAATCTCAAGAAGATGCTTTTTTTACTAAGTACTCTTTTAATGAGTACAACAAAATACAATAGTATAGTTAAATGTAACTATAACTTTTTAACAAACAACACGTCTAACACGTTTATTTTATCTCATTTATCATCCATTCAATTCAAAATAAATTGTTCTTACTATAATCACATAAATAACAGTCGGATTTATTTAAATAGAAAATCCTCTCACTATCGGTAACAACTCAAATAACGTCTAACTTCTCTAACAGTAACCAACAAAAGGCTGAACTGTTACTGTGACTACTACTATACTATGACATGCCCCTCCTCAAACTTACCTTCAAGGCGTACTTCTGTTGTGTTACTCGGGAATAACATTCGTGAACTTTGCCATTGATACCTAACCCTAAAACTGAACCGGTTAATCTATAATCGTCCGAAATTGGATTCTTTTTCGGCTGAAATGGCCGAAGATGCCCGTGACCCATCATAATGACAAATTTTTAGTCGGAAAAGGTAACTGGAAAAGGTTTTTCAGTGTAATTTCACTAACTGGATGTCACAAGCATGAAACCGGATGTTGCGCCCCGGAAATGATATCTTTTGCTAAATATAGATTGGATGGACGGGATTAGAACATGGCTATTTCATCATCGTGGTCATTTAGTTCAAAAACCTCACTTATTTTTTTTATTTTTTTTTGGGTGGGGGGGGGGGGGGGGTCTTTAACTTAGCGTTCACTTTCTTTAAAAGTCCGGTGGAAAGTCATTTAGTTTCGTCTCTTGAACTTTGGTCTTGTTCCAGGACTTGAGCGTTGCGTGCACATCCGTTCTACAAATCTGGCTTATGATGTAGCTTTCCGCCGTAATTTTACAGCTGATAAAAGCTATTTAAAAAATAACAATAATTAATTATAGAAGGAGAGCTGTCGCTAGATAAACTGATACATGCTGTTGATGATCGCAGGTTGTTGAGATATACGATCTTTTTCTTCTTTTGTCGTCTCGCTGATACCAGATTGTAGCCCAGTGTCGTGGTTTTGTCTTCTCGCTGATGATACCAGATTGTAGCCCAGTGTCGTGGTTTTGTCGTCTTGCTGATACCACGTTGTAGCCCAGTGTCGTGGTTGTGTCGTCTCGCTGATACCAGATTGTAGCCCAGTGTCGTGGTTTTGTCGTCTCGCTGATGATACCAGATTGTAGCCCAGTGTAGTGGTTTTGTCGTCTCGCTGATACCAGATTGTAGCCCAGTGTCGTGGTTTCCTGTATTTGTCTTGCACTTTTCGGGTAGCTTTGGTGATGGATTTGTTCATCTTTTTGCAGGTTTCTACTACATCATTTATCAATATTTTTTTTAGTCTTCCTCTCGCCTTCCTCTCAGATATTCTACTGTAAAAAAAAAAAAGTCTTATACGCAGTTTGGCCTGACTGCATTCTCACTAGATGGCCGAACCATTTAATTCTTTGTCCGTCGATATAATCCAGACATGGTCTTATTCCAACTTTCTCTCTAATGCTGTTTTCGTAGCCCTGTCTCTTCTTGTGTTGCTAGTAACCTTGCGTAGACATCGCATTTCACATGTAGTGATTTTCTGTTCTAGAACCCTATTCATCGTCCATGTTTTGCACTGATAACATAAAGTAGGAATAAGGATGTTATTAATCATTTGCTGTTTCGCTGGAAGGGAGACATTTGGGGTCTAAACATTGGTGCTAACTTGTAGGTGACAGCATCTGCCTTCTGTACTCTGGCTTCTATCTCTCTGTCGAGTCTGCCATCCTCCGTAAATATGCATCTTAGATGATTGAATCTTGTTCTCCTTTGATTGTTAAACTGAACATTCATGATATTATGTTTTCTGTCTATTCTCGTTACCTCATTTTTCGCGGTGTTTATTCTCATATCATACTTTGTGCAGGTTTGATGTTGGGAGTCAATATGGTGTTGTAAATTCTGTTCTTGGTGGTGTATTAGGCACTGATCGTCTGCAAAAAAAAAAAAGTTTATTTTTTATTTTTTTAAAGTGTTTTCCCTCTGACTGACACCTGATAAGATGGCCAACCAGTCTGTCATTCCTTATGTTGTTCTTACTGTGCACTGACTATCTCGACAAAGAAACCATGATATTACCCAAAAGTTGATCTTAAATACAATAATCTCTTTCATTTAAGCAACAAATATTATTACACGGAGCAGATGAAGACAAAATAGTTGTTTCTATTCTTTAATGTGGAAGCATATGTTACAATTGGAATTCTAGTTCATTCTTCAGTTTCCCGTGTCTTTGGCTTAGCCTTGATAATTTGTGACGTAGGCCTAATCAAGAAGGAGCTGCCTTGTACTGTTACGTCAGAGTAGTAGCACAGAATATCATTATGTAGCTAACTTGAAAATTGACATGACAAATACACGCGCGTGCGTGCACACACATTCTCACACACTACAGTATTAACTGATACTAACCCAAACGCATTTGTGTGTGTGTGCGTGTGCAGGAAAACAATATTTGAAGTACTAAACTTTCAGCTGGAAATTAAATATTGATTATTATTATGATAATATTTGCGACTATTTTGTTTACTTTGTCAGTCGGGAAACTTTGTGCATTTCTGTTATTATCGACTTCCTGTCAAATTAATTTCTCTTCTGTTGATCTGTGTTGATTTACGGCTTTATTAAAATCTCAAGATCTAGCAATACAGATCCAAATGGTAGTAGACTTAATACTTCTTCTTCTTCTTCGCGTTCACCAGCTGTAAACTTCGGCGGAAAGTTTAGGTTGTTCGTCCACTTATGGGCTGAAGTCCTGTTCCATAACCTGAGTGTTGCGTGTGCATCCGTTTGACAGATCTGACTCATTTGTATGCAGATTGCTGGTTCCTTGCCTCTCAGGCAGACGCATTTCGCCTTCGAAGGAAGCTCCCAATTCGTCGACTCTTACGACATGCTTTGCGTAGGCAGTAGGTCTATTCTTGTTTTCCCTATAATAGGGCCCCGGAACCCACACGGGAAGGAGTGAATACAAGACTGGAGCCCTTGGACCCCATCTTTGGTCATATACTGCCCCCTAACAAGCTTGCAATAAAATAAGACTAATCAGGTGTGTTTACATCGAGGTTGGAGTGCATCTGCTATCATCTTCATCGTGGTCATCATTATCACCATTATTAGCATGAAAATAAAATGGGATGCATTAAAAAAAGGTAAGGTGGTCAGAGAAAGGTCTGGACAAATATCTTTATCGACTGCAATAAGACAAGTCAGATGATTTATAGGAATAAAGGCAGTTTTACAGGTCATCAAAGAACATCAAATGAAGTGGTTTGGATATCTCATAAATGCCCTGTTACTATATACCACAGCGAGCAACACTGAAATGTTACAACGGGTATAATGAGAGGGGAAGACCTCGTAAAATTATGGAGTCATGACATAAAGAACAAATAGCCTTACAGAAATGAATATCAATCCTAATAGTACTCTTGACAGAGCTTATCAACGAATGTTACATATCTGGGGAGATGTAACATTCGTCTCTGTCAAGAGTACTATTAGGATTGATATTCATTTCTGTAAGGCTGTTTGTTCTTTATGTCATGACTCCATAATTTTACGAGGTCTTCCCCTCTCATTATACCCGTTGTACTTCACTGAGGTACAAGGTGGAAAAGAAGAAGAAGAAGTAAGACAAATGAAAGTGGAGATATATTGGGCTCACGCAGAAGAAGAAGATACATTCCAGTCTTCATTTCATATACAACTTGGCATGAAAACCAAAACCAGGTTAATATCCAGGCACTTCCGTTATACATTATGTGCGTATGAATACAAGATGGAGGCTACCTGCTGAAGAGATTCAAGCGTGCCTAGAAAGTGATATTTGTTTTCTCTAAGTTTTAGTTATAATGTCAAGTGTTATGAAGCGAAGCATGGATCGCGAAGGGTCTCCTGTAAGTAAAAGGTCGAGATCTGCCTACCTACCAGATCATGATGTAATGAGAGCTCGTATGAGCCCGACTGATTTTGAGAGACGCGACAGCCACAGAGGTGGAAAATATGAACCCCGGGATCATCACGCGTCGTTACCTCCCCCTCCTCCTCCAGCGTACGTCCCTGGATATCGAAGTGAGTTTCTTGTTCATGACGGCCCACCACCACTGCCACCACCTCCTCCAAGGCCCTATGATGCTCGCGGGCCACCTCCACCCGGTCCATATCCACCGCCACCAAGATGGCCACCTGAGAATGACTACAGATCTCTCTACATCAGTGGCATTCCCCAGCAAGGTTCCTGATCAAGTGCTTCGGGAAACGTTGATAGACAGTTATAAAAGATTCGGGGAAATGAATGTGAAAATAACCAATTCGAATGATCAGAGAGTTGCTTATCTGAATTTTCGTTATCCTGAAGATGCAAGAGAAGCTTTAGCGAAAGGTGTCAAATTTATGTTTGATCGCGAGTTAAAAATAAACCCAGTGTTTAATAAACGACGCAATAATCTCAGCCCAAGTCGCAGTGTTCCAGCAAGTGGGGTAAGCAGACCTCCACCAGAACCATTCTATCACAGCAGGCACTCACCGCCACCCTACGATAGACGATATCCTCCTCCGAATGGGTCACAGTATGCGGTAAAAGATGAGTACAGACCTGATCCATCATTACCAGGTGCCCTCCATCATGATTTAGACAAGAAAAATGAGAAATTTCCATATCACCTTGACCACGTTGATCCAGAATATGATGAGAAGGCAACGAGAACTTTGTTTGTTGGGAATCTCGATGTTAACATGTCAGATTTTGATTTACGAAATATTTTCGGGCGGTTTGGACTTGTTGAAGACGTTGACATTAAACGCCCTGTGCGTAATAATGGTAATGCCTATGCATTTGTTAAGTACATTAACCTGGATTGTGCTCATCGGGCAAAAGTTGAAATGTCCTGGAAAATATATTGGTAGGTTTCAGTGCAAAATTGGTTATGGCAAGGTGACACCAACAACGGTCATATGGGTTGGGGGAATTGGACCATGGGTGACCGTGGAAACTCTTGAACGTGAGTTTGATAGATTTGGTGCAATCCAGCATATTGAATGGCCAAGAAACAAAAATTTTGCATATGTTATTTATGACAGTATTGATGCAGCTCAGGCGGCCTGTCAGCAGATGAGAGGATTCCCTCTTGGTGGCCCTGACAAACGGCTGAGACTTGATTTCGGAGAGAAAGATCACATCACTCGCAGCCATAGTCTGCCTGATTACCTGTATCCTCTACCAAAAGATCATGTATATAGTGCACCTGAAAGACCTCCTGAGCCATGGAGGGACATTCCACGACTACCTGATGCAGCAGACTGGCAGAGAGATTATAGAGCCCCTCTTCCTGAAGCATACCGTGATGGAGGACGAAGAACTGAGGAGTACGCTTATGATCGTAGTGGGGAAAGACGTAAAGAACAAACTCCAGATTACTCTAAGCCTTCATATGTTAGTCAGCGATCCCCGGAGAGAGGAAGAGATTATAGAAATGAGAGAGGACAGTCTAGAGAGTTTAGGGATGATAGAGGCCAGTCTCGAGATGAAGATAGGCATACTGAAAGGAGAGACTATCGGGCTCCTAGTCCACGTGAAGATTATATCAACAACCACTGTCGTACTTTAGCAGACTTATCAAAAGTGCTGCCTGTTGCCTGGAATGGTGCCCTTACCTTGAAAAGCTCAGCTTTTGCGACTAGCATGCATGTTGTCAGTGGCGATGTCAGACTAGTAGATACACTCATGCGAGATCCTACTTCAACAGAATCTCCTGTTCTGAAGATAACCCAGCGCCTTCGCCTTGATCAGCCAAAATTAGATGATGTTAGTAGGCGTGTTGAAGCAGCTGGTCCTCGTGGTCACTGCATCCTTTTAGCAATGCCAAGCTCCCTTCCGAATTTTGAAGAAAGCACGATTCAGCAGCGGCCACTGAAAAATCTGGTCACGTACCTCAAGCAGAAAGAGGCAGCAGGAGTAATCTCTCTCCCTCCTGTTTCTATCACTGGAAAGAAGGATATTGGTGTTCTTCATGCATTTCCACCATGCGATTTTGGCTTTAATTTCCTGAAAAATCGGGCTTCAAAGCTGTCATCAGAATCAACAAAGGAGGATCATCTGGTTATTGTGGTGATTAACGGGGCATCCTAAAGGTCACGGGTATTTTTTTTAAAACATTAATTTAGCATCCTAGATCATCACTGAAAATGATTATTACAGATATATCTTTCATTACTATTTCTTATCCATTTATTCATCTTTCATAACTTCATTCATCAGTATTTGATTTTATGTAAACATATTAGGTTAGCTTAAATTTATGACAAGATATCATTGTATGAAACTATAGTTTATATGGATGGATGTTGATGTGATAATTGCAAATGTATTTTTAGTGGATAAGCTCTTCATTTATAAATTGTCTGAGTATATATTTTAGTGTATCAGTTGTACTCTTTTTGGAAAGAATAGGGGATAAGTTTAAAGTGAATGTGTGCATTTGCTTTAATTGTTGTGTTCCTGATTTCTGTTTTATTTTCTCTCTCTGCCTTGCCCCCTTCCCCCGGAATATTTATGTTCATCATTTAATTTTGCCTTGCCCTCTTCCCCCGGAATATTTATGTTCATCATTTAATTTTGCTACTGCATTTGTTTTAAACTTTCTATGATGCCCACACTTTTTCTCTCTCAAATTTCTGCATCTTTTTATATTTTGCAGGTTGATTTCCAGTTTAAAAAAAAGTTTCATTGCGAGTTAAATTTTATGTCCTGTTTGGTCGTGCCTTACTCTTATACACGCAAGAGACTTAATTTTTTCAAGGTTGGGGGTTGCCTAAGGAGTAGTCGGTCATCAGCATGATGAAAGTTGGTTACATTTAATCTCCTGAACACATTCTGTTGCCCTGGTTGTTGTACACTTTCCTAGACTGCTGCTCACCTATCGCTTCATGGTATCCTCAGAAACTTGGACAGTGACAATAGACAAGCAATTTTGAAAGTATTTTGAGATCCTGGAGATGTAATAACAACAGAATATGTTATATTTCCTGGAAAGGGGGGGGGGGGGGGGGGTCAAATATCTTTAATATTTCATGTTTAAAAAAAATCAAACACTGAGGTACAAGAGGAACTAGGAATGTAACGTTGTACAAAGCAACAACAACAAAAATAAAAAAATGCATAAGTTAAATTTTCTAAACGTATTTGGAAGACATGGCACTCCTATAAAAAGCAATACTGAAAGGAAGAGCTGAAGATCAAGAGGTAGACAATACCACAAGTGTTAGAATAACATCAAAACATGGACAAACTGCAGGATGAAAGAGTGTAGTACTACCAAGGCAAGAGATATTGTTGTTGTTTTCATGCAGCCAGCCTTAATTCTGAAGATATCTCCTGCTTGATTTATGTCCTTTTTTTTTTCTTGCAAGATCTTCAGCATTGTCACCACAGTAACGAAATAGACATAATAATTGTAGCCAAGAACAAAGTTGCAAATTATAAACAATTATAATTAATTTCTAAGTCTGCTTCCTCTGTTTAAAATAGATTAGGATAATTTGAATTTTATAAGTTTTTTTTTTTTTTTTGAGAACTTGAACATTTATTGCTCTGGGTTTTGAGAATGGTTTGAGATGTTGAAATACATGTAATTTGAATTTTTTAGAGTAAATGCCATTTGGTTTTTGTCATTAGGTCTGTCCATAGCTCCCATATACTGGCAGTAATTGCTTCTGCTTCTTTTTTTTTTTTTTTAAGCATTAACTGGCTGTAAACTCAGGCAGAAAAATCTGGTTGCTTATCCACTTCTGGACTTAGGTCTTGTTCCAGGACTTTTGCATGCACATCTGTTTTACAGGTCTGGCTTACTTGTATGCAGGCTGTTAGTTCCTTGCATCTCAGGCAGATGCACTAGGACTTTCTTTTTCTTCTCCTCTCTACTCCTGAATGCCTCGCGGTATCAGGGGAGAAAGAGATATCTAGAACAGGCTCTTCTGTTCGCTTCGTATATAGTACTTTTCAGTGTCTGTGATGTTTCCGCGGTCTAGATTCTGCATGGTCGACCTCTGGGTCTGGTACTTTAAAGGAAGAAAATCTAATTAGTGGCCTTCTATGACATGCTTGTTACCAGGGCGGTGGGTCTGTTCTTTTGCTTCCTGGTAGGGCCTGAAATCCACATGGAGTCACCAGCAATTTGTGATATGCTTCCCAAGCCACAGTGCTAAACATCCTCTTTTGGTCTCTTGTCTCCTTAAATTCCTGTCTAGCGTTCATGTTGTCACAACACAATGTACTCCAGTTTTATACCTTCTCATAACATTTCAAAAGAAGGCAGCATGTTTCCTTCTGACATGAGTAACTACCTTTTGTTAATTTCTTTCAAAACATCTTTGATGATATTTGCACTATTAGTAGACTCACAGCCCATGGCGATGGTGAGTGTGACTGGCAAGACCCGCCTGTGTAAGGAAAAGTCTTCCACAATTATAGCATGGAATTTCAGGACCATTGTTGTCAACATTTGTGTTGTCTGTTTCTTCTCAGACGCTCACCTCTCATCCTATCTGCAGTCAATTACTCCTTCATTCTCATTCTGTTCCTGATGTGCCGCCTCCACACAACACAGTCTATGGCTTTTTGTCCGCACGAAGTCACCTCAGTACCCGTATCCTTTATGTCCCACAAAAAACATCATTTGCTTATGGATATTTTAGTGGATTTGCACACTAACAACGCAACCTTATTGTAAGCCTTGTTTTTTGCACCGTTATATTTCAGCTAATGAAGATTTTTGCTTAAAAAATGTGAAATGAATAAGCTTTATTAGTCGATGGAGATATCTCTGTTCATGATAATGATGTTGATCTACTTTATAGTTTTGCCATTGGTGAAACTTGTTATTCTGTGTCTTATGCTGTGGACTTGGAATATGTGAAAGCTGAACAGTTTACACCCATGTTGGCATGGCAATCTCAGTTCCTCTCCATATAGCTTTGTTCATTTGACTTTTTGTATTAGCAATCCCCTATATTTACCACTAATTAATATCACTGTGAGAGCTAATAGACTTTGATGGTTGGGGCATAGAGAATGGCAGATATAAACTGAGTCCGCGAATGAGTTGAATGGTAATAGACTTTAAAGCATACCGGGAAAACGATTGAGGAAATAATATATAGGCAGACCTGCACGTACTTGGGTGTCCCCAGCTAGAAAGAGAAAGTGCCACAGAGATGAATGGAAGTGTGTGATATCTGCAGCAGTTAACCTCGAAGGCTCAGAATGTAGAATAAACGTAATCCTCTACATTTGAAGAGAAGCTGGGGGAAAATATCTTAGTGTGTTTGCAGTACTGCCCTTTGACAGTTCTTGTAATTAGAATGTGCTTGTCTTTATGTGTGTGTTTGGTATGCTCAGATAATTGCTTTTTTTGCAAAAGATTTCCTTTCCAGGGCAACACTGGCACACTGCTGCTGTTTGTTAGTGGGCTGCTGGTGGTTTGACACCTTTAAGTTTTGCAAGCTGCTTGACTCATCAGAGATTGCAGCTTTTTTTTTTCTTTTTGCGAGCCACAGCCCATTGCAAAGTAAGTACTAATGGATACATAATTTCTTCATGTGGGTTCTGGTGCTGGGGGGGGGGTCTTAAGAAGTGTGTTGCAAAAGACAGCTAAATAAAGAATTTACATCCCGGAACAAGACCGAAATCCAGAAACAAACGAACAACCAGGACATGTTGCAGAAGTTTACAGCTGGTGAATGTAAAGTAGAAGGATTTTCTGAATTTGGATATATTGAGCTGAAAAGTACAGATATTGCAGCTTTGCTGTAAACCATAATTTAACTGTGCCAGCCAGCCTTCTAAGGGAAGTTTAAACACAGTAAGAATTTTTTTTTTTTTCATATTTGCTGAGTTTATTTTCTTTGATTTTTGATTTTTATAAAAATGAGGTCATGTTTGGTTTTTATGAAGGTAGAGATTTCTCTTGAATGCCGAGTCTCCCTTCCTTTTTCTCATCACCTGAGATTGAGGGGGAACAACATTCATGTCGAAAAAGAATGGTAGATGAAAAAAGAAAGTTTAACATCTGATTGCATGGAAATGAGAAAACATCTGAAGTAATGCAAACGAAGTATTGGGATGACTGGTGTCGCCCCCCCACCACCACATACATACACACACACACGAGGTAAACCAAAATCAAGATGACGTAGGAGAAACTCTACTACAAAAGCAAGGGGAGTCTATGGTGGAGGCTGCCAGAAGAGCAAGTAGCAGAACCCTTGATATCCAAAGTGGCAAGAAAGAGGAATTGAAGAAAAAATATCAAAAACTCAACTCCCCTGATGTCTTTTTCATATGAGGATAGGTAATAGATGGAAGAAAAAAAAAAAGTAAAGATCCCTTTCCACGCCTTTAGGCGTATCGGGCTTATGGAAGAGGGCCCATATTTTTACAGACCATCAGCACTTCGGTGAGTAATGTGGTCAGCATTACGCCGGCTGTCTTTACTTTCCCAGGACAGCCCATCCTGGTACCCATTTTAAGCTGGGTCAACCTGCGACGCCCCGTACCATGATAAAAATCCACGCAGCCCGCAGTGGGTTTCGATCATGATTCGCCTGGTTACGAGTCGGACTCGCAATGAGGTAATGGATGGACTGTACTTAAATATTTGTCTTCGTCTACTTTACTTCTTTTACTGCTTCGGGGGCTGAGGGAGATATAAGATTCTGCACCTTACTTTTCTGGCCACCTTGACCATAGACACACCGTGCTGTTGTAGAGTTTCTTTGATATCTGTCCATCTTGTTCTTGCTCTACGTCATGGTCTGCCTACTTCACCTCTATTTGTGTAGGCCTTATATAGCATTTCAGTGACTTGTGTGATAATTGATTCTTGCTTACCCATCCTCAGCTTCAGCTTGAAATGTAAATGTGACAGATGCAGCTTCCTATTTTATATATTCTTATGTGAGTATCTCTTTTATCTTATATTAGAAAGATTAGAAACAAATAATTGATGACATTTAACGTCAACTCCAGAGAAAAGTCCTAGTTGTTGCGTCCATGACTGGACTTCCAGTCTCATTCCAGGACTTTAGTGTTTTGTGCACATCTATTTTACAGATTTGACTTATTTGTGTGCA